GGGAGGTGGCTGCCTTGGGTCTTGCTCTGTCTCTGATTCTGGCTCTGAGCCCGGTTCAGGACCAGTCAGATCCACCGTAACCTCCTGCCCCACCTCTACTTCCCTTCTGCAGCATCTGTTGCTCCCTTACTACCAGGCCGAGCTGGGTTCCGGCTCAGACTGGGCTCCATCCTGGGCATGGAGCATGTCGAAACTCCTTCACCTGCCTGGCCAGTCAGTAGCACTGACACTGCCTCATGTTCAGGCAAAAGTTGAGCTTCTATATGCTGTGGTCCGTGACCCAACAGCCTGAGTAGCGACTGACAGTAAAGGCAGGGCTGTCTCCTGTGGGAAAGAGGCAGAGAGTGGGGTTGGGGGCAGGGTGCAGGTGGTAGGGAGCAGGAAAGATGCAGGGGGAAGAAGTGAAGGGGCAGAGGGCACCTGACCCCTCTAGTCACTGTTTACATGCTGAGGCAGTGGGGGTTTATAAATTCATAGATGTTGGGGTTGGAAGGGACGTCAGTAGGTCATCGAGTCTGACCCCCTGCTCTGGGCAGGAAAGAGCACTGGGGTCAGACGACCCCAGCTAGGTGCTTGTCCAGTCTCCTCTTGAAGACCCCCAAGGTAGGGGAGAGCACCACCTCCCTTAGAAGCCCATTCCAGATTCTGGCAACCTTTACTGTGAAGAAGTTATTTCTAATGTCCAACCTAAATCTGTTCTCCATCGATTTGTGGTCATTGTTCCTAGTTATTCCAGGGGATGCCCTAATAAACAGAGCATCTCCTATTCCCTGCTGCCCTCCGCTGATGAATTTATAGGCAGCCACAAGATCACCTCTCAGCCTTCTCTTGCAAAGGCTGAAGAGATCTAGGTCCCTCGGTCTCTTCTTGTAGGTCCTTGCCTACAGGCCTCTAACCATATGAGTGGCCCTCCTCTGAACCCTATGAAGGTTTTCCTCATCCCTCTTGAAGTGTGGCACCCAAAACTGGACACAGTACTCCAACTGCGGCTTGACCAGTGCTGCATAGAGGGGAAATATCATCTCCCTGGACCTGTTTGTCATGCATCTGCTAATGCATGATAAAGTGCGGTTAGCCTTGTTGATCACTTCGTCTCAATGATGACTCACTATGACTCCAAGATCCCTTTCTGCTGCTGTGCTGCTGAGAAAGTCATCCCCCAGCCTGTAAGTGTGTTGGTGGTTCTTTTTTCCCCGGTACAGCACTTTGCATTTGTCTTTGTTGAACTGCATCCTATTTCGTTCTGCCCATTTTTTTCAACCTGTCCATATCCACCTGGATCCATTCCCTACCCTCTGGTGTGTTAACTTTGCCCCATAATTTGGTATCACCTGCGAACTTGGACAAGGTGCTCTCTACGCCCTCGTCCAAGTCACTGATAAAGACATTGAATAGCACCGGCCTTGTGGCACTCCACTGCCCACGTCTTTCCAGGTCAATGTTGACCCATCCACCACCACTCTCTGGGTGTGACCCCTAAGCCAATTTGCCACCCACCTGACCGTGTAATCATTTACATCACAGCCTGTCAGTTTATTTACAAGAACAGAATGAGATACTGTATCAAAGGCCTTCTTAAAGTCTAGGTAGATTACATTTACCTCAACTCCTGTGTCTAACCATTTTGTGACCTGGTCATAAAAAGAAACAAGGTTAGTCAGGCAGGATCTACCTGCAATGAATCCATGCTGATTTCCTTTCAGTATTATTTCCCCTGCTGGGCTCCCACAAATGTGATCCTTAATGACTTTTTCCAGTTTTCCCAAGGATAGAGGTGAGACTAACTAGTCTATAGTTTCCTGGTTCCTCCCTTCTCCTCTTCTTGAAAATAGGGACCACATTGGCCTGTTTCCAGTCCTCTGGGACCTGACCGGAGCACCGTGAGTGCTCGAACAGCTGTGCTAGTGGCTCTGCTATGACACTGGCCAATTCCTTCAGCACCCTTGGATGAAGTTCATCCGGGCCCACTGATTTTTGAACACATCCAGCCCCTCCAAATGCCCCTTCACTAAGTCTGCGCTAACAGTTGGTGGGTTGGTGTCCCTCCTGTGTCTGTCTATGATTCAATTGGGAGATTTGTCTTGGTCTGTGTCTAGGAATACAGATGCAAAGAACTCATTGAAGAGCTCAGATTTGTCCATCCGTCCGTCGTGTGTTGTCCCGCCTGTGTTCCCCCCCACCCCCGGTCACCGGTGCCAATGCTCTTGAGCTTTAACACCTCACTAACTAATCTCCTGAGCCTAGTCTTCTGAAGTCTAGCTCTTCAGCCCTGCTGGTTAGTTTACCCACCCTTCACCTGATAGTGAATTCAATCAATCGATGGTCACTATGCCCTATGTTATCTTGTACCTGCAGATTCCCCACCAGGTCATCCCCTGTAGCTAACACCAAGTCCAGCAAGGTGTTTCCTCCAGTGGGATCGTATACCTCCTCTGTTAGTTGGAGGTCCTGTATGCAGGTTAAGAACCTACATGAGTGGTTAGATTTGGCTGACTGCTCCTCCCAGCAGATGTCAGGGTAGTTTAGGTCACCCATGACAACCATTTCTCTTGACCATGCAGCCTCTGAGAGCTGTCTGGAGAATTTCAGGTCTAGCTCATCCTCCTGGTGTGGCGGGCTATAGTAGACCCCCACTACCAAGTCCCTTTCCCCCTGACCTCCTTGTAATCTTATCCTGACCCACAGTACCTCGGTTTGGCCCTCCTCTGATCCCATCTTGATTATACAGGATGTACATTGTTCCTTAACATAGCAACACCCCCTCCCCCTTTTTTTCCCCACTCTATCCTGTCTGTACAACCTGTAACACTCAATGCCTACTGCCCAATCATGAGTAGCGTCCCACCAGGTTTCAGTTAGTCCAACCAGATCAAAGTTGTTGCTTGCAAGCAGGAGTGCAAGTTCCTTCTGCTTGTTTCCCATGCTCCTAGCATTAGTGTAGAGACATTTAAGGCCCCTGATGGGGCTTGAATTCAAGACAACCCTCCAATATTTAGATTCTTTACCTGGAAAATTGTAAGAAATGTATACATTTTCCATATATAGAGTTTAATTACTAAGTGGTAGTCTTGAATCTAAGATGAGCCTGAATTTAAGTACGTACAGTATTGCCTGAAGTTTTATATTTAAATTTTAACTGTGATTATATCTGAATTGGCATTCTGCTTAGTGTATCTTCTACCCTTTAAGGTTCTATCACAGCCTCATGAAAAAGTAAGGTTTTCAAAATAGTTCCCAATGTAGGGTCTGATCTGAAATATGCTGAAGTGAAACGAGTAGGTCTTTCTACTATGTTTAATAGGTTTTGGATAAGGCCCCTATTTTAACAGTAAAAAGGTATTGCCCACAGTTACTGGGTTTTTGGTTGGAGCTGTGTTGGTCTAAGGTTCTGTTGGTAGATGTGATATCTTTTCTTGCCCACAGTTAGGAACTTTGTTCTAGTGTTGTGTCTTCATAAGCAATTACCTCCATATCTTGCTCACCCCATTAATTTACTTTTAAAAGAGTAATGATATATTCAAGAATATTTGTGTGTTTTTATTTTTTTTATTTACAGTATTTTTCCTGTTGAGACATGAGGGAATATAAATTATGTGCTTACCAGCAGCATTTAAAAACCAAGTCATTCTCCTCTGAACTGTCAAACATTTTTATGCTACCTTGCTATTCCTCACATAAATAAAATTATTTACCAAGTTTTTGTCTAAAATTATTTCCCATGCTATTTCCTTCAGGATAGAAAACTAAGAAAATAAAATTGAACTTTGAACCATTAATAGATGAATGAAGCATGAGGAGAAATTTATGGAAAATAGAATTTCCCTAATGTGATACTAGACTTGTGAACATTTTTGTTTATTTGTTGTTTACATGTTTTATTTAGTGACATGGTTGTTATGTACAACTCTTTTCTTAGGTTTTCAGAATGCTAAAGTTCATGTTGCACCTGATTATCTTGTCTAAGCATCAAGATTTACATCTTTTATTACAAAATAAAATATTTGGTTCAGGGACTCCTAATGAAGTCGGGTAAAAAGCCATTCATATTAAGGGCCACTTGTGTGAATTTCATACAGTTCTTTATTGGGTATTTCTTTTCAGTTTGTGTTATAACAGTTAGTTTTTGATGGTCAATTATTTACGTATTGGTTTTAAAAATTACAGATGTAACTAATAGATAGTGTGGCAAGCTATCCCAGAAGGATCTAGTACTGTACTATTCATGGAGACTGAACAGTCTTTCTAGTGAAGCCTTTGCTAGACTAGTACTCCTTCTTTGCATAAAATGTTTCCTTTGAAGTGCTGTCCATTCAGCACTTTCCACAGCCATTAAGTATTTTTGGTGGGGGAATTAAATAATTTGGCTAGTTTAAATTGGTCAGGCCTTTTGATAGCACCTCACTTAAGTCTGGCTGCTTTTTCACTTCCATCTTCTGATAGGATAGAATTAAGAGTGTTTAATCCTTCGTACCAATCTGATTCAATCAGTAAATAAAAAAATGTGAAATGTTCCCTTTGAAGAATCTTGAAAACCGCTTTACATTCCACTTACCCAAATGGCCAGCGAGACAGTCACTTCAGGATATAGATCACTGACTCTGCTACTTGAGGTCAAGGTGAAGCACCCCTCCTTTTCACCTATTGGAATGTTGTTTTCCATATAGAGACTTTTAACTTTTCTCTTAAGAGCCTCTACTGACCATTGTCTCAAAGTGCTTGAATAGTAATACTGCTGCAGCAAAGTGGTCTTATCTCTTAGTAAAATACCCACATGATAGTGGAAGGATATTATTATAATGACTATTTTGACAGTTAAGTTTAAGAATTTTTTAAAATGTTAATGCTGATTTGTGATAAGAGTGTATTGATTCATTTTTAATAACTGTTCATTTCTACAGATCTCCCTTCTTTGCCTGAATAATTTAGTAAGAAAAATGGTGTTTCTATATAGACAATTGCAAATTAACATTTTTGGCCTTGTGTATTTCCCTTTCTCTTAGGATTCAATGTTGGCAGAAGTGCTGGTGGCAGATCAACTCTCAGGGAGATTAACCGGGATGCATGTCATTTTCCAGGCTTCCCAGTTCTCCAGTCTCTTCTCCCTAAGCATACTAATGTAGCTGCGCTCTATTTCCTCCTCATGGCACTTTTCCTGCAGCAGCCAGTCACTGAGCTGCCTGAAAACCTGCAGGTCAGTGCACCTGTCATCATCAGCCGATGTAATCAGGGTTGCCAGGTAGGGATTTAGTAAGATATATAAATGTAATTCTGCATATCACCAAAGAGAACAATGGGTTAATCACCTCAAATAACTCCACAATCAGTTTATCAGTTTTGTATTCAGATGTTGGGACTCAAGGGCTAAGTAAATAGTCTGTAGTATATGGAGAATAACCACAAAAAACCTGTCTTAATTTCTGCTTCTCCATAACTGAAGTGGTTTCTTTAAAAAAAACAACAAAACAGTTTTTTTGGTGAGGGGTAGATGGATGTTTTATGTTCTAGCTCAGGGGTGATTAACAACCGCAACCTGCAGACCAGTTCTGGGCCCCAGCATTCTTACCTGGCTTAGGAGGCTTCCCATGGGTCCAGAAATTTGGCAGTGGGGGGGCAACGCAGGGCCAGAAGTTTGAGCACCACTGATCTAGATAGTAAATAAGGCCTAGACCTTCACTCTGTGACATGCAGGCAGAACCTTGCTACCCTCATGGAATTCTGTTGAAGTTAAAAGAGCTCTGTGAAACCACAGACCTGTTGCAGGAATGGGAACTGAACTGTTGGTGTTGACTGTGACTTGTGAAACCTGTTTTTAAAAATCTGCTTTAGTTCCTAAGAAGGCACATTTCGTCCTTTGCAATACATGTATTGCTGGGGGCTGGGACATTGTAGAGGAAGCAACAGTATAGGAAGAATATGTGGTCTTTGAAGGTTATAGGCAGAATTATGCTTTTTATTAGGAAAAGTGTATAGTAGTTTTTAAGTCTTTTTTATTTTTTAAATGGCACCTAAATTTGTATAAGTAACACCTGGTGGTTATTTTAGTGAATGGCATTATATTGGTTTTATTGCACAACAAATGAGTACATATAATTTGGGGTAGCATGGAAAACAAAGCCAATATTTGAATAGCTAATATTAGCGCAGTAGAGGGAAGAATCATAATTCAGGTTGACATAGTGCTTTGTCGGATGGAGTGAGCACTAGCATCCATTTAATTGTAGGAAACAAGGAACAAGAAATAGAGAAGTATCTGTAAATAAACTTATGTTCCCTTTCATCTGTAATTTATATAAAGATGAATATATTATTGCCTTCGTCAGTAACACATTTGTGTATGTCCAAATTGAAGTGGATCCTTTCAGTCTTAATTTTCTTTATAATTCATGCAATTTTACTTGAAATACGCCATCTGAAAATTGAAAGCAAAACTGCATAACCTGCTTAAAATAATTAAACATTGTAGGTTTAAAATCAGAGGTTCATTACAGTACTTATAAACGTTCATGTTGTTTGTTTTTGTCATTGGTTTGATTTTGACTCGATGGAAAAACAGATTGGCTTGTTTTTAGATATGCAGCACTTTGTAGATTTTGTTCTGAAAACTACGAACAAATAAGTTGAGTCATTGACAGGATTGTTTGAGATTTGGAACACTGCTTTAAAAGATTAAGGAAAAAGACATTCGTTCTGGGAAGGAACGTTTACCTTGTGCTCCTCATGACATGATTCCTTCATGGAGTTCTTTGCACTAAACCCTGGAGGGAATGCCATGTGGTATATTTAGTGATACTATATCAAAATAAAGGAGCAATCACTTATGCGATATAGAAAATCAGGAAATCAACAATTCAGTTTCTGAGGAGCAACGGTTAACTGGCTTTTCTGTTTCTTTCTTCCACCACACCTCTAATAGTTTGATTTAGACTCTATTTGGACATTTATATTTGGAGTTCCTGCCTCCAGCGGCACTGTGGTCTCTTCAGTTCACAATGTTTGCACAGAAGCTGCCTTTTTATTACTGGGGATGCTCAGGAGCATGCTGAATTCTGTGAGTACAAAGCTCTGTTGGTGTTCCTCTACCTATACAGAATTTGTATCTCCTTCAGTCACTGTTATGATGGACAATTTAGGAAGGTCAGGGTTTTTGCGGGAGAATAATTCAGTCAGGACTCATAATTTTGTTGTTAGCTATCTCAAATTATTCTTGGCCTACACTTCATTTATTTATTTTCTCATTTTTCATTATCTATAGAAGTACACATAGTTGCAAGATTAATAGTGCTTTTGCCCAATGAAATTAGGCATTGAGTTTTTCCACTTAAAGTAGAAATGATCAAGTGCCCTTTGCAGAGGTTGTGGAGTTTCTTTTCTGATTGGGGGATATTTAAAACTATGCAGCCCATCTGCTTGGAGTTGTGCAAGTTACAGATTTTGTGCATGAAGAAACAGCCATGTGCAGACAAGTCTATTGACTATTAATAGCTTCATGCTGGAGGAAATCCACTGGGTACCAGAAAATATGTGTTTTGCATTTTTTTAAATGCTTATTCTGAACTCGTCCATAGAGAGAGTTTGATGTTGCCGTTCCTTAGAGACAACATGTTTATCTGTTTAAATAGTAAAGTAGTCCTTTCACTTCCATAGAAATTATTTGAAACCTGTATTTCAGTAAAAATAAATAAATAAATAAATTGAAAGATGCTACATCACTCCACTAGAGGGAACTGGCTGCAAGGAGACTCCCAGCCTGGGAATGATTACTTCTACCAGAAACAGGCATCTTCTTTTTGTTGAATTGACACTTTCTGCTAATGCAGTAGCAAATAGGTGGGACGGGAAAAATGATCAGTATTGTAGAAAAGTGAAGGGAGGAATCTTGGTTAGAAGGCAAAGCTGAGATAATGGTACAGGTTTCCCTTGATTTATGCGGGTTATTTATATGCAAATTTGCTCTTATGCGATGAGTATATTTAGATCCATAATTCATTATGCGAGGTAAATTCACTCTTATGCAATCAGCATAGACGCCCCCCCGCCCAAGCAGATAAATCTGTAGGGGAAGGGGAAAGGGCTGTGGCCCTACTCACCCCATCCCTGGCTGCAGCGGCCCTGGGAGTGGCTGGTGGAAGCGGCCTGCAGCCATTGGGCTGCACTGCGCTCCACCTGTCCCCCCCCATGCCTGGGCTCACCCCAGCTCCTGGGCCGCGCCATGCCGTGGTGCAGGCAGCTGGTGTTGGCTGCTCCCGAGGCCGCTCCAGCACGGGCTGGTCCAAATGCAGACAAGTGGAGCCCCGGGCGGTGCAGGGTGTGGCATTCAGCCCACCCCAGCTGCAGTGGCCCCGGGAGCAGTCAGCACCAGCTGCCTGCAGCCACTGGGCTGCGCCATGCTCCGCCTGTCCCCACTCGCCTCTGCTTCTGGGCTGCGCCATGCCCTGGTGCAGGCAGCTGGTGTCAGCTGCTCCCAGGGTGCTCCAGCATGGGTTGGGGTGAGTGCCGCGCCCCACACTGCCCGGGGCTCCGCTTGTCCGCACTCACCCCAGCCCGTGCTGGAGCGGCGCCAGGCGCAAACACCAGCTGCCTGCACCAGGGCACGGCATAGCCCAGAAACAGAGGTGAGTGGGGACAGGTGGAGCCCAGGCATGGGGGGACAGGTGGAGTACGTCGCTGCCCAGTTGCTGCAGGCACCTGGTGCCGGCTGCTCCTGGGGCCACTGCAGCCGGGACTGGGGTGAGTGCCACTCTGTTCCCTCTGCTTTGCTGCCTTGTGCAGCTGCAGGAGCAGAACCCCTCTCCCTGCCCCTTCCCTAGTCCCAGCTTCACTTCCTCCCTCACCGCCATGAGAACCTATCCCTATTTGTTACATTGTAAAGTGGATTCGCTTTATGTGAATTTGATTTATGCACCATTCTCTAGGAATGCATGTACCATATAAATAGAGGGAAACCTGTATTGGGTGAAAATGTGCTATGGAAAGTGAGAGAAAACTAGATAAGAAATAGAGTGAAACAGACTGAAGTTAAGTTAGAGGGAAGAGCAAATAAGCAAAGGTTTATAATACAATTTGAAAAACAGAAAAAAAATTCTTCTGAAATTTTTTCCTTTGTTTGTCTACTCAGGCCCCAGTCTTTTGCCTGCCTTAAGTGCGGCCCTACACTAGCACAAGGGTTCATTTGCTTAGCTTTTAGCACATGATTTTCATGTTACTAATTACTCTTTTATGTTGATAATTTTCCAGGTAGTGGGGCTGCAGCCACAGGAAGAGCAGCTCCAAGACTTTAGGAAGGCCTTCAACACTGTCTCTCACCCCATTCTCATTAAAAACTAGGGGACTGTGACGTCGACACCTACACAGTCAAATGGGTTACTAGTTGGCTGGGGGGGGCCGCACCCAGAGAGTGGTGGTGGATGGGTCCCATTCAACCTGGAGGGATGTGGGCAGTGGGGTTCCGCAGGGCTCAGTCCTCGGGCCTGCACTGTTCAACATCTTCATCAGCGACTTGGACGGGGGTGTAAAAAGCACCCTGTTCAAATTCGCAGACGACAATAATATGCAGGGAGAAGTGGGCACGCTAGAAGGGAGGAATAGGCTGCAATCGGACCTAGACAGGTTACAGGGGTGGGCGGATGAGAACAGGATGGGTTTCAGCACTGACAAGTGCAAGGTACTACACCTGGGGAGGAAGAACCAGCAGCATACCTACAGGCTGGGGAACTCCCTTCTTGTCAGTGCAAAGGCAGAAAAGGATCTTGGAGTCATTATTGATGCCAAAATGAACGTGGGCTGACAGTGTGGGGAAGCGGTCAGGAAGGCCAACCGTACCTTGTCATGCATCCACAGATGCATCTCAAGCAGGTCCAAGGAGGTGATCCTCCCCTTCTGTGCAACACTGGTCAGGCCGCAGTTGGAGTACTGCATCCAGTTCTGGGTGCCGCACTTCAGGAGGGATGTAAACAACATGGAGAGGGTCCAGAGGAGGGCCACCGCATGATCAGGAGTCAGCAGGGCACCAGGAGTGACAAGAAATAACAGTCACAAGCTGGCAGAGGGTAGATTCAGGCTAGATATTAGGAGGCGCTACTTCACTGTCAGGGCGGCTAGGATCTGGAACCAACTTCCAAGAGAAGTGGTGCTGGCTGCTACTCTGGGGGTCTTTAAGAGGAGGCTGGATGAACACCTCGCCGGGGTCGTTTGACCCCAGTACTCTTTCCTTCCATGGCAGGGGGTTGGACTTGATGATCTGCTCAGGTCCCTTCCGACCCTACCAACTGTGAAACTGAAGATTGCACAATTATGTACTAAAGGCATTTGAATTTGTCTGTGTGTAGGCAGCAGAGATTTAGGGTAGCATAACTTTGTATCACACAAAAGAATGCATATGATGGACTTTGCATACTGATGAACATTAAATATTAACAGGAAATTGTTACCTGTGCACAAGGAAAGTTGTTTTTTTTGTTTTTTGGGGGGTTTTTTTGTTTTTTTGGGTTTTTTTTGATACAGAGATTCAGTAGAGAGGTGGTTCTCAGCTTGTGTTTTTGCTTGCTCCAAGAACCCTTCTATTTGTCAATGGGTGCACTATTTTTAAATGAGTTCTTTGATTGATACCATCTACAATAATAACCTGTTTGAAATTTCTTTTCAATGCAGCCTTGGCAGTCAGAAGAAGAAGGCTCTTGGCTTCGAGAATATCCAGTCACCTTGATGCAGTTTTTTCGATATTTGTATCACAATCTTCCAGACCTAGCTTCATTGTGGATGAGCCCTGAGTTTCTGTGTGCACTGGCAGCAACTGTGTTTCCTTTCAACATTCGACCTTATTCAGAAATGGTAGGAAACTTAAAAATTGAATACATACCATTGAGAATATTTTGTTTTCACTTGCTGGTAAGTCCCCCTACCCCTCACATACACACACTCCCTTCACTTAAATATTAACTAATTGATAGATATCTTAGATGAGCTACAGGCAGAAATCTTTTCATGAAACAGAAGAAGACATGGTGGTTGGAGTAAGCTCCGATAAAGCTTCTCTTAAATCCTGTACAGCATGTCTTTGCTGAACTCCATTTTTTTTAAATATTGGAAATAGCCTGAGAGCTAAGCTCTAACTTTATGCACGGAATTTTTGACCATTTTATAAAATAGATATTTTTGGTGTCTAATTAAGATTAAAATGAAATGAATCTGTTCTTGATACCAAATGTGAACAAAAGACTAAATTGTATTTAAAACATTGATCTGAACATCTCTTCTTTTCATAGATTGTTAGGGGCTGCAAGGGACCCTGCAGGTCCAACCCCCTCACTCTAGTCAGGAAGGCAACTGGGGTTAGGTGACCCCAGCGAGGTGACTGTCTAGTCTCCTCTTGAAAACCTCCAGGGTAGGTGACTGCACCGCCTCTGGAGGGAGTTTATTCCACAGTCTGGACACTCTGGCTGTGAAGGAGTCTTCCCTGGGGGTGCTCTAGTGAACACTTGTTCACCGAGCTCCTGATGCACTCCTCTGATATAGTGGAGAGCTGCTATCAAGTCCCCTCTCAACCTTCTCTTCTTTAGACTAAAGAGGCCCAGGTCCCTTATCCTTTCCTCATATGGCTTGGCTGGCAAGTCCCTGATCATACAGGTGGCTCTTTCCTGCACCCCGTCAAATTTTTCCACATCTTTATTGAAGTGCGGTGCCCAGAACTGGATGCAGTACGCCAACTGTAGTCTCACCACTGCTGAGTACAGCAGGTTTATCACTGTCTTAGTTTTACATGAGATGCACTGGTTGATGCATGCCAGTGTGGTGTTTGCCCTGCTGACCACTGCCTTGCACTGACAGCTCATATTCGTACGATGGTTAATCATTACCCCTGGGTCCCTTTTGGCTGTGGTGCAAGTCAAGCTGTCACCACCGAGCCTGTATGTGTATTGTTCTTCCACTGTGCGCAATATTTCAAACTGCCATGCTAAGAGCAGTATATATGTTTTGTGTCTATTTAATTAATCTTACTGAAGCATCTCACAGACATTAATAGGGTTTTGGGGGGGGGGGGTTCACTACCTCTGAAACTGACGCACAGGTTCAGTTCCTTTGGCCAGGTCACACAGGAAGGATATGGTAAAAACCTGGAACTAAAATCACAACTCACGGTTCCCACTCTAGGGCCTTAACCACAAGACCATTTTACTTAAGAAAGATTGTTTTCAGATCTGAAAGGGATGGTGAGGGTTATATTTGTTTGCACTGCCTAGACATGCCTGTTGTTGGAAATTCCTTCTTGCTGCTGTTTTACACTAAAAGTCATATAACATACCACAATATGATACTGACAGAGCAGTAACAGAAAGAGGGATGACAATCCAGGGTTGATATTGTAACACAATTTTATTAAGTGCATGGGCATGGGGAAGCGAGAAGAGTAAATATAGCCAAGATAAGAAAAAAATAATAGAAAAGAATGTCCCTTCCTGATTATCATTATCATCCACTAATTTTAGTTGATACAATATCTTCCTGTCAGGAAGCCGTGTGTGTATACAGACAGAGAGGACCAAACTAAAAATGTACATACTCATGTGGATTTGGTAAACTTTTTTCTTTTAAATTAACTTGAATTTAAAATGGGTGCACGTACTGACAGTCACTCAAATCAACTGATTTTTAATAGAAAATACATTACTACTTATGAAATTACAGCAATGTAATTTTTTTTCCTGTTTGGAGATAATTGAAATTAAATTCCTGTAAGACTGTCTACATAAAGAGAAACCTCTCAGTTGATTGCAAAATGTCAATAAATGTTGGGGTAGGAGAAAAAATTGCTCTGCCCAGCTTCTTTTGGGCTTATGGTAACTTGGAAATGCTAAGTATTCTTTCAGGACAGGAGCTGAGAAAATAGTGCCCATCAGCCAGACTTCTAATAGATGGTAATATAATGTTATAAATATGCACTTACAAATAAAAAATCTGTTATACTTTACATATGTGTATTATACATAACTGTGGCTTGGAGTTTACTTGCTTTAGGTAAACCACAACAGTTGTTATGAGAGAACTAGCAAATTGCCTGTCAAGAATGACAAAGGGTGGCAGGAACAGAGGCCTGTGTCTGCACCACCCCTCCTGCCTCAGGCCGGGGCTGCTCCCTGCCTCCCCACTGCTGTTTTTGCCTGATCCTTTACCCTCCTCCCCTTTGGGCTGGGGCCAGGGCCGCTCTCCGCCTCTCCCCGCTGCTTCGGGTTGGGGCTGGGGCCTGAGCCACTTCCCACCCCCCACTTCAGGCTGCAGGCGGGCCCGGGCCCTGGCCCCCCCTTCTCCCCGCTGCTTGGGGCTGGAGCTGTTTTCCCCCCTCCCGTTCGGGCCGGGGATGGGGCCGTTTCCCCCCTCCCCCTTGTGGCTTTGGGCCGGGGTCTGCAACTGCAGTGGTCGTCATGGCGGCAGTGGCGGTCACGACTGGGGCAGAGTGCAACCACCAGTAACCCCCCCACCCCTTCCTGCTTCCCTCCCTCCCCTATTTCCTGCTGCCTCCTCCCTGCCAGCTGTCTGCCAGCCTCTGGCTCCAAGAAGGTGACCCACTCTGTCCCCTACATTATGGCAGCGCTCCAGTCCCTACTGTGCCCCCCCCTCCGAAACAGGGGAGAGGGGTGAGGCCAGCAGAGAGCTGCATTTTAATTGCATTTTTTTGCAATATTGATTTTTTTTTTTAATTATTTTTATAACTTCAGTTTATGATTTCTTGATCATTTGTGGGGGGGGGGGAGGGTTGTGATTGGTGCATTTATTCTTTGAGGAGCCTTTACTTCTTCCAAAGCTGAGAAAACAACTTGAACAGTTTTCAAGGTTCTGGGTGAAATGTAAAACAAGTTAAGGGCAACGTATACTCTTGCCCCACTCATGCCATCACCCATCATGGGACCAAAAGGGTGGGAAGGGAAGGTACTTTTCAGGAAGGTACTTTCAGATAATTCTGAAATAACTGCAGGAAATAGAAGAAAGAGAAGAATATATAATGCAAAGCTCTACAATTTCAATATGTTCATTTTCATAGGTTACTGATCTTGATGATGATGTTGGATCCCCAGCTGAAGAGTTTAAAGCATTTGCAGCTGATTCTGGCATGAACAGGAGCCAGTCAGAGTACTGCAATGTTGGCTCCAAGACCTACCTGACCAACCATCCAGCCAAGAAGTTTGTGTTTGACTTCATGCGTGTGCTGATAATTGATAACCTCTGCCTTACACCTGCTAGCAAGCAGACTCCACTGATAGACCTTCTGTTGGAGGTAGAGCTTGAATTTTTTTTGAGTGGAAGGGTTGGAATAGGGCATGGCGGGACGGGGGGGTTACTTTCCTACATGTTAAAATTCATAATAAACTTTCAGATACGTTTACTTAGCTCAGGGGTTCCCAGAGCGTGACTCAGGAGGCACTTCCACGCCGCAAAGTGTTTGTATGCAACCTGCAAAGGGACTTATTATGGTGGCCAACCCCAACAGAACCTGCTGGTTGGCAAGGCAGTAGCCATTGGCTCTGGTCAATTAGTACTGAAGCTGACCTTAGCAGCAACCCTGTGATCCTTTGTTAAGGATAATTGATGGACTTAAAGCAGCAGGGAATGCAACTTCCCCTTCCCCAACCTTCACGCCAAGTATATACCAGTGCGCTAAATGTTTTGGGAGAAGCTCAGTTATGTGAGCTGGCCTCACTCATTTGTCAGACAAAAAAAGACTCAGGGGCATAGGTCCTACTCAAGCTTGAATTAAGTGATGGTGCTTGTATTTATAACCTTGTATGTGTAAAGTATGTTTTGTTTCACCTATTCATCAGTAAAGTTCTGCACTGTATATTCAGTTTGATGTTCCACCATGCACAAACTTTGGGAAACCCTCATCTAGTTTTCTTCTGAAGTTACGTAAATAAGTGCTGAATATCAGAACTACTGTTCATTTGCTAGAATGTCTTTTAAATTCTCATTTAATATCAACCAGTATTGTTTAGAAAAAGGTATATGGAGCTTAATGTATTGTACTTATACATTTTAATTAGCTGTAGTTCCTCATAGTTAAATGCGTGAAGCTTAAATAATGTTTATTTTCATATCAATTCCCTCCATACTTTTTGGCACAATAAATGCTGTGTAAACCAAAGTCTGACAGCATTTGTTAAACTGTGCTCCTTCTAGTGTACTTAACTGATAAAACCGTGTTGCTTTGGAGCTTATGATTTCTTTGTTCTGGATTGCTCTGTAGAGTCAGTGATATGCATACCGTAACGTTTCTCTCAGAGACAGCACAGAATCTTAGTCAGAGTCTCTTTGGGAAACTGTCTTTCTTATTTAAATGATGGTTCTGATTTCTGGAGGGGACAATTCATCAAATTCAAGCACTTCTAAGATGAGCTGGTGTTATAGTTGTGATTTCACATTGTGCTGTTTGCTGTGCTCTTTGTGCATATCTTTCATATCAGTTTGCAGACTAATATCCCATAATCCAAAGGCTGTGTGGGAATAGGGTAGGGAGAAGTTACCTTTCCCTGCCATCCCGATTCTTTTATATCACCTAAAATGTTATACAGACTTTGGGGGTGCTTTAGTAATGATGGAGTCATCTGCATAACTTCCCCCTACCCTAATCCTTAAGGCACCCGAGCAAGCCACAATATCCAGGCTTCAAAAATGAGGCTACCTTGATGTTTTTTTTTGTTTTTTTTTGTTTTTTTAATTTAATTTCACTATTGCTGATAATACCCAATATAAAAAAAATGCTGGTAACAAATCTCAAAAAGGTTGAGTGGGGTTGTTCAAGCAGCCATTCATTATATACACAGTCTCTACATTTGAATCTATGGTAGTGGCTATGGTAGTAATGGGCCACTCTGCTCAAGTGGTTTGAAAACACAAAGAGTATTGGTCCTTGAAAGAAGAGGAGGAGGCTCCAGTATGTGCGGTATGGAAAAGTGTTAGGCTTCCCAGAAAACTACTAATAAAGTGACCCATGCCACTACTGTCCCAAGCTGGGGACAGAGGACTTCAGTGCAAAAGGGGCAAAGCCATGAAGGAAAGGGTGGGGCATCCCTATGGGAGGTTGGATTTAGGCCCCTGAAATCTCTTAATCTGGGCCTGGTTTAACTACATGGTTAACACATTGCACAAAACGGAATCACTGAACATGAGTGCAAAAAAAAAAAAAAAATACAAATTTCTTCTCCCTTCCTCTCAAAATGCCTTCATTTTTTTTCTTTCCTTTATTTTGTCCTTTGGCATTTATTGGTGCTGGTAATCCAGATGTTTTCTCAAGCTAGCTATTTACATACAGACTCCCACCAACCTCTGCTGTACTATTTTTTGTAGACCACACCTTCCTACTTCCAATTTTCTTTATATGCTCAGTAACCTTCCTTTGGTCAGTCAATTTCCATTATAATTGCTCATCATTCTATAATTGGGTTTTATGTCTGTATATTCATTTACTCCAGTGGTTATCAAACTGTTCCACAGAACCCTGGGGTTCTGCAATAGGTCGTCAGGGGTTCCACAAAGAGATTGGGGGAATGACAGAGTGGACCAGGTGGTATTATGCCACCATTGCTTGCCTGGGTTGCCTGCCTTTGTGTCAGCCCTTTAAGATGGGGGTAGGGGTTCTGCGGTAGAAGTGGCTATAAGAAGTTTGAAAATGACTTTTTTCCTCTAGTTTATCCTCTCCTCCCTCTTAAAAAGCCAGCAATACTGTAATTTTGATTTAGTCTCGACTACGGTCACTTCTTCCATTCTTTATACTCAGCCAAGGTGATCACTGTTTTAAATGTTCCAAAATACAGCAGAAGTTACTGCCCTCCTACAATTCTATTCTTGCAGTATATGCTTTCTGGTTTTTATTTGATAACAGTGATGGTCATGCTTGGTTCTCTATGAGACATAAAAGGCACAGTGCCTAGAAGTTGCTGAAAAAAATTTAAACAGCTCATTGTTTCTTAACGTTTGATTTGAGGAAATGGCAGGACATCTGGTAGGTGATGTCTTACTGAAGGGGAGAAAACTCCTTGTCAGAATCTGCAAATCTGCTGTATTTGCCTCCTTTAAGTCCTCTTGAAAACCCAGCTCTGCCATATGCCTATTATTTACTCTCTCTCACAATAGTAGAACTAAGAGCCATAGGAGGAAGCAGGTTAAAAAACAAACAAAAGGAAAGTCTTTCACACATCATGCAACTCATTTGTCAACTTGTTGCCACAAGTGGTTGTAATAGATGACAATTTAACCAGATTCAAAAAAGACTAAGTTCTTTAATGGGTATTAACTATGGTAGTAGGGATGTGACCTCTGAATTAGGACTTCCTAGGCCTGTGAATATTGGAAGCTGCAAGGGAAGACATGGCAGGGAACATATTACAAATATTTTTCCCTTTTATCATCTGTTCTGTGCCATTGTGAGATAGCCAAGACTGGGCTAGATGGACCTGTGTTCCTACCCAGTATTGCATTATTATACATTTTTGACTGTGTCCACACAAACAGGGTTATGCTTTTGCAGCAGAAGACATAGCAGTGGCACAAATTTGTGCTGCTAGTTTGTACTGCAGTTCATGCCCCTGCCTGTGTGCTTTGCGGTGGGACACATTGTCCTGCTGCTTCATGTGCTGCAGGGGGAGGCTGGCTGGGGTACAGCGTGCCTCAGCCAGGGCTGTCCAGTCCCAGCACTAAGGCAACCTGTGTCCTGGCCAGCTGGGGAGCGGCATGTGGAGATGGGGGAGCAGGCAGGCTTGGGCTGCCTATTCCCCTGTCTCCATAGGCCGTGGAGCCCCTGCAGTGGGGCACACTGTGCCCCAGCCAGCTGCTCCGTGGCTGGCTGGGGTGCAGTGTGCCTCAAGATGGGGAAGCAGGCAGCCCTGAGTTGGCTGCTCCCCTGTCTCAAGGCACACTGCATGCCAGCCAGCTGCTCTGCAGCTGGATAGGGTGCAGTGTGCCTCAGCATGGGGACTCCACAGTGGAGCCCTGCGCAGAGGCACATGGAGACAGGGAACCAGCCATCCCAAGGCTGCATGCTCTCCCATCTCGAGGCACATTGCACCCCAGTCAGCCAAGGAATGGCTGGCTGGGGCACAGGGCATCTCAGCACACTGGCTTCACAGTGGGGCTTCTGCACTTAGGCATGAGGAAGTAGGGGAGCACCCAGCCCAAGGTTGCCTGCTCCCCCGTCTCAAGGCACACTGTGCCCCAGCCAGCCAGGGAACAGCTGGCTGGGGTGCCGGGTGCCTCAGCATGGTGGTCCTCATGCCTCAGTGTGGGGGCTCCACAGTGGAGCCCTCATGCTAAGGCACAAGCAGCCAGCCCAAGGCTGCCTCCTCCCCCGTCTAGAAGCACTCTATGCTCCAGCCAGCCAAGGAGCACAAGGAGACAGGGCAACAGCCAGACTTGGGCTACCTGCTCCCCTGTCTTGAGGCACCCTGCACCCCAGCCAGCTAGGAAGCGGCTGGCTAGGGTGAAGGGTACGTCAGCTCGGGGGCTCCATAACATGCAGAGATGGGAGAACAAGAAGCCCTGGGCTGCCTGCTCTCCCATCTCTGTGTTTGTCCCAGCACCCACCACTTTGGAGTGGTTTGTGCCACTTTTCCCCAGGTTTTGGGGTTTTTTGCTACTGGGAAAACCCTGTAGCAAATTTTGCTTCAGCGTTGCAAATTAACAGTGCTGCACACTGATTAAGTTGCAACTCATGTGGTTTGTGGTGTTGCAGATGTTTGCAGCATCACAAACCCCACATGCCAGCATGTCTGGATCCAGCCCTTAAGTCTGTCATCTGATGATGGTTAGGAAGAAGTGAGCTATGCTACTGCTGCATGGTGTACTACACCCACAGTTTTTGCAAGAAGCCAGAATACACAAATAACGTGCTATTTTGCCATTCTATTTCCTGTTTCCATTTTTTTTTTCTTTGTCCATTTGTTATATCTGGTCTTTTTTAGATTAAAGTGCTTTGGAGCAGGTGCTATTACTTATTGTTTAGTTGTACAGTGCCTTACACTATGATTGGTTATGTCATTGAAGCTTCTTTATATAATCAAAGAAATGAGTAATAGATGCAACCCTAAACAAACAAAAGAATCATCAGTATCTAGATAGTAATAAAATATATGAGCGAATATGTTCTCCCTCAGTGTATGCTGGGTCAGGAAGTACGGATATTCATAGTCCTGAGAAACACTAATAGAGAGAAGAGAATCCAGGGAGTATTTGGCTTGCTAGGATTGCCATGTGCTATAAAAAGAACTAACTTCAAGACTTGTGGGCATCAGTGGGGTTTAGGTTGCTCATTGTGTAGTTCTCTAAAGCTAAAGCAGAAATACAAAAATATCAGTGTAATGGTTTTACATTATTCAGGTAGTCAGGTTAGTTAGGTGTAAACTAGACGGTGCCCATAGGAACCAAGAAAATACCTATCTCTGTTTCTCTTTATACCTTGATTAATCTTTGGGGCTAAGTACAGACAGTCAAAAAGCCTGAGGCTGAATTGATTCAGTTTTTGCAGGTTAGTCTAAACTGCAGAGCTTAAATTGAAATGTGAGTGAACAGACGGGAAATGCAACCGCATGCCTACAGTGACTCAGGCCAGAAGCTGGGGGGAAAAGGGGGTACGAGAGCATGGCTCTCTGGCACATAGCCAGTATGGGCTGTGTGTTCACTTCCTCTTCCTGCCACCCATGTGGTCTCTGGGATTTGCAGTCCAAAATCACAGCAGTAGGACTCAACAGTGTTGCCCGTCATTTCCTTGTCGTGCTTCCAGGTGCTTCTGGGATTTATAGTCTACAGTCGTAGCCAGCAGTAAGTTTGAGCGGGCAAAGGGGTGTTTAACCCCCTTCCCTGGCCCCAGGCCCCAGCCGGGGTTTGCCTGCAGACTGGGCTGCATCCCCAGCCAGGCTGCTCCACCTCTCCTCTCTCCCCACCCCCTGCCCTGCCCGCTTGTCAGCCAGCCCTCAGTGCTCCAGCTAGGGAGCAGAGGGGCAGGGCCAGCCCTGCTCTCTGGAACAGACAACACAGCCCAGCCCAGGGCTGCAAAACATGTTGGGATGCTGGGGAACTGTGATTTAACTTGAACCAGGAAAGGATTTGGGACAGAAGTTTCATGAACTGGTTTGACTCAAATCAGTTAGGTCTGATACTACATTCAGCCAGGTTTATCTTAAACCAGTTTGGGCCATTTTAAAACTGGTTTATGTGCACTGCGCCTCTGTTCTGTTATAGGTTTAAACCAGTTTCTGATCACTTAAACCATTTTGTGTAACTTCTGTCCCTAGCCTAAGAGTGCATATATTTACCAGTTTCTGTTATACAGGAAATAACCTAGCAAAATGGGAATCTAATCTATTTGGTGACAATTAAGCGTACAGTCTACAGATTAAGCTCCATCCTTAAGGCAGGTCAGTTAGAGAATACATGTGTTCCCAGAGTCTCAGAAGTCAGAGATGAGGAAAGAAAGGTCATCTAGTCTTTCTTCTTGTCAATTCAGGGCTATTCCCAGCAGTATGTTTTATAGAAAGGTAGACTTTTAAATTTCTAAATAATTGAAACCTTTCTGAAATTTTTATGCATCTACTAATGTGGACATTTCCATGACCATAATTGTTAGAAGATGGAATCGCTCTCTGGTTTGCAGCTGAACCCTTTAAATATATATTGATTATGTTTTGCAGGCTTCCCCTGAAAGATCAACAAGGACGCAACAGAAGGAGTTTCAGACTTATATTTTGGACAGTGTAATGGACCACTTACTTGCAGCTGATGTTTTATTGGGTAATTTACTATTTTGGTCTAGCTTGTCCATTCACCTTTCATCCTCACTCCATTACCCTAACTTAATCCTTTCTTTCAAAGATATCTTGTGTCCTTTCCCTGTAAAGTTTGGGAGTGTTGTGATCTTCTGTATCTTTGTCTTTTTCTTTTTTGATATATGAAGAGATATATTACTGTATTGCCAAGGCATATCTCCATCATGCCAAATATGTGAACCTGTAGTAGTTCAAGAGTTGTATATGTGAAGGGTGGGTTTTTAATATTATAAATAAAAAATATATATATTGAAAAGAGAGGAAGAGGAAATGGGACTTTTTCATCCCAGAACAATCAATCCTGCTCCTCTTCTCAGTGGAGGATTTTGGTACTGCCCCAATTTAATTGTGGGTGGGAGTTAGGCTGTCATTAGTCACCTTGATTTCCTTTCCCATATATTATTATTTTATTATGGCACGGCACTCAAGAGAACCCACCAGGACTAGTGCTTCTTTGTGTGCTAGGTGATGAACACATGCACACATGCTGAAAAGCTCGTCATCTGGATGGCAGTCTGAAAAGCTTGATCGTGCAGATAATTTGAGGTCAGGTACCTGGATGAGCAAGGTCGGAGAGGGGCAAGCTATTAGGGTACCTTGTCTAACATCATGCTGGCCTGTGGATTTCCCTAGTTCTCATGTTGCTATCTATCCCCAGTGTCTCTTCCATAGCGAGATTTTTAGGGCTGTGGCCTTTTCTATTAAAACTTCAGGTTACCAAACTTCTTGGGGTACACTCCTCCCTGGTCTTTCCTTCCTTCTCCTGTCTGGCATTAGTTTTCATGTCAGGAGAAAACATGTTTATCACTGTCCTCTACCAACAATCTTTAGATCATAAGGTGCTGCTGTTAAAAATGGCCCCATCCTATTTTCAGTCAAGTTTTGCCTTCCTCTGGTGGGTTTACTGCCTCTGAGAATATTTGTGGGAAGCAGAAATGTCTTTGCTGAGTACATAGACAATGGGAAAACAGTAGAAAGATGCTGTATCCCTCCTCAAACCAAAAAGCAGTGTACTTGTAAGATCCAGAGGGAGGTTTCCCTTGTGGGTTCTGATTCATTAATAAAATAATTCCAAAACAATACTACATGAAACCCAAGGGCAGACCTCTTCAGACTTGGCTGTCTTTTACAGCTTCTTTAACCCATCCTAAACCTTCTTGCTAGGGTTTCTTTTCCCCTAGTATTCCTTTCTCAAGTCTTACCTGTGCCAGACTGGCACTCTACCTGAGGCACATTAGAATTTCCCATTTATGTACGATGGGTACATGAATGTGCTTTCCAACAAAATCAACACCTGCTGACAATGGATATCTCAAGTGAACACTTTCAGTTTGTTTACCACATCCCCCAATGAGGTCTTTATTTAAAAACAAAAGAAGCTACAATTGGCATAAACATGCGACTGCGTCTTAGTTTTTATCTAGTGATGGCCAGTGGAGGGGAAAAGACTGTAACCATGCCTTAAAAAATAAGAGTCATGTTCTTAGACTGGAGCCCATGGGAAGGGGAGGTGTACAAAAATGACATTGTGTGGTGCACTGGAAGGTATAATGCCTCAGAAGCACCATTCTTCAGGGCCCATAATTGCTTTTAGGGAGAAATAATTTACTGTGTGCATGTAAAGAAGGTGACATATTCCTTTCCCCTTCAAGCTTATTCAGCTAGCTCTACTGGTTTGCACTTGAGAGTGGAGGATGTGTCAGAACCGTGTTTTACCTATTTGCTGCCTGTTTCTAGGAGAAAACGAGGAGCAGCCCCCATACTCCTCTAGACGTTGGGATTGAAATTGTGGTTACAAAAGCTTAGAGGAACTTTATGCCCTGCTTGCGCCACTGCATAGATGCTGAACATCTTGTTACTGTCTAGCCCTAAGGAAACAAGAAACTACCATCACAACTGTGTGTTAGAAGAATTGTTGATAAATGTTATAATCAGCATATAAGTGTATGAGATAAAGTAGAAACTAAGATCTGTTATATATTAGAATTTATTTTTTGTTTAGCATAGTTTAATATAAACAAAATCTCATGTATGTAAAATAGGGATATAAAATATTGTTTAAAAAATTATTCATTTAACCTCCTCTAATTATGTTGGTTAAACAGTTAATGGATAACACAGAAGTTTGGACACAGCTGCTGCTGGGAGTCGCTCCTGGGCTAGGGACAGAAGTTGCATACAAACAGGTTTGATCAGAAACCAGTTTAAACCTGTAACAGAACAGAAGTTCAGTGCACATAAATCATTTCCAAAATGGCCAAAACTGGTTTAAGATAAATCTGGTTGAATACAGTATTAGACTTAACTGATTTAGGTCAAGCCAGTTTACAGAACTTCTGCCCCAGACCTATTCCTGGTTTAAGTTAACTCACAATCTCACAGTCCCCCGGGATACTTTGCAGCCCTGGGCTAGGCTGTGCTGTGCTATCTGCTCCAGCGGAGCAGGGTTGGCTCCACCCCTCTCCTCCCTAACCGGAGCACTAGTGCTGCTCCGGCTGGCTGAGAAGGGGGTGGGAAATCCTGCTCCCTGACATTCTGAGGCGAAGCGAAGGGATTAATCCCCATCTCCATCCCCTCTCATACCAGCACAGGACCCCAGCTGTGGTCTGTCTGTCTGCTCGTCCCCAGCCTTCCCACCCTGGTCACTGCTCAAGCGGTGGGGGTTGGGGGGCTTGGTGCTGCAGCTTCTTGAATTCTTCTTTCATTGTCTTTAACAGCTGTTCCTTTTGTTGCATCTCTTTAGTTAAAGCTTTGCACATCAGTAGTAACCCTTCTAGAACGGTTCATTTCTTTATCTTTTAATTTGCCCAGGGTTTATGCCCAGAGACAGTCTTGATCACAAAATTGTACAAATGTATCTGGTCCACAGAATATATTCTTACTCCAAAAACCCGGAGCTGTTTTTCTTATCCCCAACTTTTCTAGTTCCGATGGCTCTTTTTTCACCGAGCCTGCCATATCAAGTCAATCCAAAAAGCAGGAAAGCTCCTGAATTCCAGCTTTAATCTGTGTTCCTTCCCCTGCAAAACCAGTTTGGCAAGTTTAAGTGACTGAGCCTCCAAACCCCTGGAACAGATTTCAGTCCTCAACAGCTCTAAGTTCAAGCAGTCTCCAATTTCTAAGTCCAGTGTTCAACAAAATTTCTAAGTGCTGGGCACAATAAATTCTCCCAGTCCAAGCAAATTCAGTAGTGCCCACCCAGGGAAGGGAGGAGCTTGAGTGCTCCTGCAACAAGCAGGGGTGGGGGGGCTGGGGATGCTTGGCAAGGGCTGCTGCCCCCCTCCCCCTCCACGCACACCCTGGCTGGGGACTCTGCAGGCCACGGTGGGGGTTTAAACCCCTCCCCAATCATACTCAACAGCCTTTTGGG